ACTCTGTAAGTTGGGTGATGAAGTATGTTAGTGCCCAGAAATGAGGCCCTGCAGGCCACAGAGCAGAGGTTATAATACTGAAACAAATAAACAACAGAGGAATGCACACATTTAACACTACTTATTTACACATGTAGACAAATACAAAGGTTCATGTACTGAAGCTACAACCACACACTGCACTAGACAATCTGTACTAGACCCTACACAATCACAAGGGTTTTCCAGGAAATGTGATTGGGAAGTTTAATTTTAATAGTTACAAGTTTTATTTTGGTTTAGTTTAATTATATAAGTTTAATGTACCTTGTCCATTACTTGTAATTTGAATCCATAGTCTGCTGTATGTCGTACATTACCCTACATATCTTATCTACATAAATTTAAATTGTACATATCTATCGGTAAATTAGTACTGACGGTACATACTATAGATACTGCGCACTCTTCACTGCTGTTATTACACTTCTGGTTAGATGCTAAACTGCATTTTGTTGCCTTGTACTTGTACATGGGTAATGACAATAAAGTTGAATCTAAACTATCTTTTATTTATTCAAATGAGGTTACATGAGTGAACAATCCATGTTTATGTTTGTGCATACATCTGTAAGATTTGTGTGTATGTGTGTATGTATGGCTGCCGCTGCGACTGGGTGATACAGCCTCCGTGTCAAATTATCAGCTGGATGGTTTCCAAGCTCAGCATCGACAAGCTGACAGAGAGCAGGGCTCATTGCCTCCCTGAGGAGGGGCTAGTGTCAGGCAGAGCTGCTACTGAAAAACATTTTTGATGTTTTAATGAACTTCACTGTGTTTTCCTCCAGCTCCTCTCTGCTGCTCGACACAAAAGAGCAATGAGCAGTGGGATAACAATTGTTTGTTTGCTTGTTTGTTTTCAGACTTACCTGATTATACCATGAATGCAAACACAGCTTGTGGATCACAGGGCTTAACAGTATGTGTCATTTATGCATTTTGACACACATGCATGAATGTATACAGTATGTTTACATTACATATATACATTTGATCAGAGGGAATCAGAGCTCTAGGGAATTAATCAGAAAGTTGCTTGGAGTTTTCTGTTAAATGTCTGTATTTCAGGGCTTAACAATATGTTTTTCTATTTACATTTCTGGTTTATGGGTTTTTATTTTAAAAATATTTTATACTGATGTGATAATTGACTCAGGTGTTTAAGATTTGGCTCCATTTGATTGGTCATTACAGCTTGTTCTTACATGTTGTCAACTGGACACTTGACAAAGGTTCATGACCAAAAGTTGTAACTCTAATAAAGTGCACCTACAGTAACTCTCACCTTTTGGGGACCCTCCTCTCACATCACAGTTCCTGGCTTGCTGTTTAGCCAGCTAAATGCATCATACTGGGGGTGGCAAAGGCTAAGAATAGCTGACCTTTTCTCCAACATGTCCACAAGGGCTGAATAATGCACACCTTCATGCTCATCTTCAATCAAATACAGCGTTAGTCAGGTTATCGCCATCCTCCTTTCCATCACTTCTCCCTATGATCCTTTCTGGAGAGAGAGTGAAGGTCAGATAGCAGCAGCTAGCTCCTCTTCCCTCTGTCACTCTGTCTTATCAGCCCTGCTCTCTTTATCACCTCCCACCTTTTATTCACATTCTGGCACAAAAGCATTTACTGTAATCTCCCTTTGTGTCTCCCCTTCAGCCATTGTCATTCCATTTACTTCTTCATCTTCTACAAACGTATGTCCTTCTACTCTCTCTTTTGCTCTGTCATCATCACACTGCTTTTTTTTAGTTTTATTCTCATGGCTTGCACTTTGGCTGGAGACAAACACATGCAGCCCTGTACAAAGACTCGCACACCTGAGCTACCTCCCCTCTGTGCTGCAGGTGCTCACATTACAAACACACCCACACATGGATCACATCAATCTTAGTTTTAGGCTCACATCACAAAATGCACAGACATAAAAATATACACAGGCTCCACAAGTAGGCCAGCTGAATTCACTATGCTTCTCTGTACCAGATGGGTCAGGAGAATTGTTCCAGCTGATAAATAATGGATTACCTACCGGCATTATCAGAATCAGCTTTATTGGCCAGGTGTGTTGGACATGAGGAATTTGACTCTGGTATTGTTTTTGTCTTATCTAATCTGTCATATCTTCTTTTGTCACACTGCTACAGATGGTCTCTACTCTCACCTCTCAATGCATCTAAAATTCACTTGCATTAAAGACAAACCAAACCCTTCCCTGACGTCTTTCTTCTATTCTTCCTTTCTTTGAACCCATGGCCTCTGTTCTTTTCTCTTTTTATGAATATTTAACCACTGCCCCGTGTGTGGCCCTCTGCCTTGGCTCTTTGCCTCCATTCTATGAGCTGTTCAGGCACCGAGGAGCAGCCAGAATTACTTTCCTTAACACAGAAGCATAACTCCACCAACATAGCCAGCAGAACAGCAGGTCATTCAACAAGAGAGGAAACATTATATATGTATATGGTATATTCAACAAGTGCTGACAAACTGATAGTAAAGAACTTTAAAGAATGTATGTTTAAAACATGGTTTAACTGGCTGTTTAACTACATGCTCTACTAAGTTCATCAGCTGCTCACTGACTTTGTTGGTTGTTTGGTGCTGGGCAGGGGAGTGTACAGTGGCCTTTGCTCTTTGTTTTGCTATAGACAGCCGGATGCTGCAGCTTAAAGGAGACAGATGAGTGCTGAGACAGTACAATCAAAATAATTAGCTGAAAGATGCTAAAACACATTGTACCACTGTGGTGAACTGCAGAGTTTGCTGGTAATTCTGTGCACTATGAGCAACATCTTTCAAATTACACATATAATGCATTACTAATATACAAATATCAATTTTGCAGCTGAAAGTTTAGTTAAATAATCCTTATTTTTCTCTTTCTTGTACTTTCTTGTACTTTAAAGAGACATTAAAGTACAAGAAAGAGAACTTTCTTGTACTTTAATGTCTCTTTTGATAACTTTAATGATTCACTATCAGATTCATTTATTCATTGACCTTATGAACCTGAATTTCTTTTTTTAATGTGACTTTTCTCACAAAAACTGTGTTTTCATTATTTTGTTTAGCCCTTATAGTTCTCAAAATGTTTTACATACTTTCTTTCTCATGGACGCTGCTTAAATGCACCTGCCAACCGTTCCACTTTCTTGAAAACACAACTCGACTGTGTAGGCTGCCACAGTCAAGTGTTGTCTGACTTCCTCAGGGACACGTCTGACAAAAAACACAAAGATAAACTGAGAGACTTGTTTAAACACAGACAAACACAACCAAATCCAAGATTAAGCTATAAAACTGCCACTGAAACTGTAAATAAACCAGGTGTTTTACACAATAATCACTAAAGTCATTAAAATCACCCCCATAAACAGCAATATCAATGGCTCCTGAATGCACACACAAACACACATACTGTATGTGAGCGCTCACTTGACCTCCTCCACTCTGATTATTGTGATTATGTACATCTTCCAAATCAGTGATGATAAGTTTAGTTTGCTGTAATGTGGATTCCTGAGGGATTACAGTCCGAATTGCTCTCGTCACATTTATAACTTTTAAAGTGCATTGTGATGACAAATGCAAGAGCAGGCTGAGTTCACATGGCTGTGTCTGTGCCTGTGGGTTCATGATTGTGCCAGTTTGTGAGTGCTCTTCAGCATGATGTGAAATGAACATGGATAACAACTCGTCCTCTAATCTCATTCCTGTTTCCCACAGGCCCTGGCCTTTAGGCTCTCTCCCCTAACCTCTAGTTCACACACTGACTCATACACACTTAAGTGGAGAGAGTGACGTCTGCACACACCACACATGTACACAGTGTCCTTAAGGTAAGCACATAAGTCCAGCTTTTTTGAGCACCATCATTAACCATCTGGGCTGAAGGGACAAAGCATACTGGAGCACTGGCGCACCCAGGTGTGTGCTGTGTTTGTGCAAGTGTTTGTGTGTGTGCAGGTGGTAGGTACTAGCCAGGAAAAAAAAAACTGGTACAAAAGGACACAATCATCCTCTCAGGATTATCTCTCCCCTTCAGAGCCCAGGTAGACAATGCAGTGAGATCAGTGATCAATGGGATGTTCACTGACAGCAAATACAAGCAAGACCACACTGTTACAAGACCTCCACCTTCTTAGGACTAAGCTTTATCAACATTTATGAGCCAAATCAGCTGAGCTTGTCCTGACTGAGAAGGTCACAGGGCTTATTTTTGGGGATTTCATGGGGCACTCTAATTCATTCGTCCACTATTGGACAGCTGAGGTGGCTGCCACGTTCCCCTGTAACACAAGTCTAGTTGTTTGGGTGCATTACTGAGGCATGAAAGCTAGTTTTGGAGGAGTTTGCAGAGAGGAGGAGGGGGAAATGTCTTCAGATTGCTCTGGCTGAGGTCAAACCATTAGCTCTGGAGTCAGGGTATGTGTGTGCCTCTGAGAGAGATACTGCATCTGACTCTGCATTTCATATGAGAGAGAAGTGTACGGCCATACATAGCTGCAAAATAAAGAGTGAGTAACTGTGCAATGAGTGACCAACTATCATGTACTAAACTGACCTGCATTCAAATTATCTAAGTAAGTGGATGTGGCAATAATAAGTGATAAGACCTTGGAGCGTCTTTGACTCAAAGTCTGAGAAGAGGAAGAGTTTGTTTCTTTTACAGGAAACCGGTCATCATGAGAATCCCACTTCCAAAGCTAAACCCACAAGAGACCATCCACACAAGGCCTGTTTGCTGCAGCCTGATCAGGCACACAACATGGGCTTACAGGTCAAATTTTGGCAAAGAATGCAGGGTGGTGGTTATCTGGGGCTGCCACTGCCAGAACAAGTCTTTCAGTGTATTCTAATAAGTAAAGCATACTTTTTTGATAGTTTAGATGGCACTAAACGTTCACATGCGTATGTGTTAGGATTGAAAACAATGTATTGAACATTCCATCCATCCTCACCTTGGAACTTGAAGCTCTCAATCTGCACCCACAGACAGAGGTCCTCAGTGTCACAGTCGCACCTCCAGGGGTTGCCGCTGAGCCCCAGAGACCGCAGAGCGGGCAGAGCAATCAGGCTGCTGATGTTGAGGGTGGTCAGGTTGTTTCGACTCACATCCAGCACCTGCAGAGCCATGTTCTCTGAAAAAGCATCCGGGTGGATCTCCCCCAGAGTGGGGTTATCCGTCAGCCGGAGCATCACCAGGGATGTCAGGGGCCTGAAGGTCCGGTCTTCAATCTGCAGCAGGGTGTTGAATGACAAGTCCAGGTAGGCGAGTTTCCGCAAGTTCCCAAAAGTGGACTCAGAGATTTCGGTCAGAGAGTTGTTGCTGCAGTCCAAATAGACCAAATCAGACAGGTAGTTGAGCTCCAGTGCCGGAAGGTCCCTGATGCGGTTGTTGGAGATGATAAGCTGCCGGGTGGCCAGGGGCAAGTCATTTGGGAACTGGGTGAGCTCCTGCCCAGCGCATTGGGCAACCAGCTGGTCATCGCACACACATTGGTGGGGGCAGCAGGCTGTGAGAGCAGGTGAGGGGGCCACCCCCATCACGACCATAAAGAGGAAATTGAGCCGGAGGGACTGGGCGCTGGGCTCGGGCAAGAGACACATGACGAGCCCGCCCAGGGCGTCATGAACTCGCGCTGAGCTGGACCAGGACTCCCTCTCAGGGCATCCTGCATGGGTGTGAGGAGCTGGGAGAAAGGCCAGATGGCAACTCTGGGTGTCTGGCTGTTGCTGCCTGAAAATCTGGATGCTGTTTATATCCAGACTCCCTTTTTCTCTTTCAGAAAGACAGTCGGTCAGTCACTCACACGCACTCTCGCGCGCTGCACACGTCTCCACAACACATCATTTCAGAAGGTGACCCAGAGGGGCCTGTCGCCCTGACGCTGAGACTCATACAGCTTACCGGACTTCGGCCCGTCAGAGAAGACCACAAAACCCCTGAATGATGTCGAGCACCCCGTCGGTGACTCATCGTTGTGATTAGTTGTCGCCAGCTAAATGCATAGTTAATTTAGTTTCCAAACTGTCCTGAATCCTGGATGAAGACTCCCCGAAATCCTCTCAGACGCAAACCTTTCATGTGATTTTGGCTGTTTGTCTGAGTGTGTGCGGGTCTTTTGTACACCAGTGTCCAGCAGCCAGTTTTTTTTTTTCCAGGAGCGAGATGGAAAGCGCTTCCGACCTTCCACTCCGTTCAGACAGCTCCATGTGACTGTGGCTCTCCGTTGCGCTGTACTGATGCTCTCTCGCTCTGCGCTCCCTCCCTCTCCGTCTCCTCATCCGCGCTCATACTGCAGCTAAGCACACACACAAGTAGTGTTTATGCTATTTGTGAGTTGGCAAGGGTGTAATTTGTAATGGGGATGACGTCACAAGATGTTGCCCTCTTGTCAAAAACCAGAAGTACAGATTAAAGCTAGTTTGACCGTACAACGAAACTCTGTGTGTGTGTGTGTGCGAGAGAGAGAGAGAGAGAGAGAGAGTCTGTGTGCATACAAAACAAGTCAATCATAATGTTTCCTGAAAGCAGCAGCCTCTTAGTCATGCATAGATTTAATAGGCAGTATCTCATGTTGCCATTCTGTCCCCCAGCGACATGTTGACGACACAATGCATTCAAATTGGATTGTGTGCTGCTCACTTATTAATTTTTGGCACACTCATTTTTTAATTTGGCTAGGCAGTGAAGTCACACATTCAGCAATCTACATCAGGCTATGTGTTAGTCTGCACAGTGCACTTGGAAGGAGGCCTGACAATATGTTGACTGCCACTTCTTGTCTTTGCTGCCAAAGTCTCATTACTGTGTCTTTCAATAAAACAATCAAAAACCTTGTTTTCCTGTGAAAATAGAGAATAAGCTTGACAAATTGGGGAAATGTGTCTTTGCTTTCTTACCAAGGAAGGAGAGGACAACTCAGCAGCCACTGTTCATCCGGGGGGTCGAAGTGGAGAGGGTTAGCAGCTTCAAATACCTGGGCGTCCACATCAGTGAGGGTATGGCAGCACTACTGCTATGGACCGCAAGCGCCTGCAGAGAGTGGTAAAGACTGCAGAGAAGATCACCAGGACTCCACTGCCCTCTCTGCAGATTATTTACCACCGCAGGGTGCGCAGGAAAGCTGCCTCCATCCTCAAGGACCCCACCCACCCCCAGCATGGACTGCTCATACCCCTGCCCTCCGGTCGGAGGTTCAGAAGTGTGAAATGCAGGACCTCTAGACTGAAAAACTCTTTCTTTCTGACTGCCATCAGACTCCTAAACAGCTGGCTCAGGATCTACCTCATGTAATTCCATCTGTACTGTTTACAAAGTGCACATGCATAATTGCACACTTACTGCTGAGTATTTGCAGTCCACGGCTCCCACGTAGCATAGATTTTCTCTGCATTATATTGTGTTCTTGTTGTATTTTTAGTTGCTTCCTTCACTTGCTGCTTTAAAGTGCCTTAGATTTGTGATTTTACTGCCTATTTAGATTTGTGTTATTGCTCATCTACTTTATATTTCACTTTATATTTCATTTGTATTTTGTAGCATTCATGTGGATGGCAAAGTAAGAATTTCATTGTACAGGGAAACATGTTTCCTAACTTTGCATATGACAAATAAAGACTTTGACCTTTGACCTTGACCTTGACCTGTACCGAAAGCTGGATAGGAAGATCAATACTGCTTTCCTGTCTGTCTTGTAGGTATTTAACCAGCAGCTGGTTAGCTTAGCTTAGCATAAAGGCTGGAAACAGATGAGACACACATAGCCTGGCTCCTCTGTCTACAGGTAATTTCTGCAATGCAAAATTGTGTTTTTTTTGGGTGGGTGGGGGTTCTCTGTTCTTTTCATTGTGAAAAAATGTATGAATTTATCCCTTTATATCTAAGAAGGAAAAAGTTTGAGGACAAGCAAATTGTAAACATGGCTTCATGCCTCCCATAAGCTGTAAATTATTGCAGCTCTAACACTTACATCATTTCATTTCAGAGCTGCTGTAGTCAGGCACTGATATCAGTCTTCAGTCTGATATATCATTATTGAAGAAAGGCTCTACTGCAGACAGAACAACCTGTAGGAAAATGAGCCTACTTCATCAGTGTCAGTTTCTGTCAGATGCCTCTGTCATGGGTTTTTGTTGTCTAAATGGCCCTGCTGGATTGTGTTTGCAGATAATTGCCCAGGTAAAGCCTGACAATCAGAACAGAATCATTAATGTAACTTTCCTCTCTGACTGCTCTAACTGGTGTCTGCTACCAGAGACACTCGTGTAGGTAGGCGTGTGTGTACGTATAATAGACACCTGATATTCAGAGGTCTTATGGTGTATGTTCATGGTACCGTATGTGTCTCTGTATGGATGTTCCCTGCCTTTGTGACAGCGTCCTTGTGAATGTGTGTGCATGTCTAGTACCACGTTCAACAGGTGAAACATCTTTATTTTTTAATAAGGTGAGTGCAGTGTCAGCTGTCAACTGCCAGACAGCTGGTCTGATCCCCAGCCTGTCACTCACCTTTGCCTCACACTACATGTTGTACTGCACATTTTGTCGTTTTTTTGGAAGGATCCCCAAAGGTTTGTCATATGTGGAATATATTAGGCACAACTCTGTCCCCACTTCTCATCAGTGTGTATCAATA